AGATGTAAAATGTTATCTCAAGGTTGTTTTAATTTGCAATTCTCTAAACAATAATGCTTTTGAGCATTTTTTCATATGAATATAAATTGTTTTGATTTCCTCATTGGAGAACTGACTGTTCATTTCTTTTGACCATTTGAGGAATGGAGAATCTTTTGATTAATTGGGGAATGACTTGTATTCTTATAGATTTGACAAAGTTCTTTATATATTTGAGACAAGAGACCTTTATTTAAGAAACTGTCTATAAATTCACCCCCCCCCCCTTTTCTGTTTTCTTTCTGATCTTGGCTACATTTATTTTATTCTCTCTCTCTCTTTCTCTCTGGTGAGTCAGTTGGGGTTAAGTGAGTTGCCTAGAGTCATACAGCTATGTCAAGTGACTGAGGCCCAATTTGAACTCAGGTCCTTTTGACTCCAAGGCCAGTACTCTATCCACTGTGCAACCTCGCTGCCCCTACATTTATTTTATTTGTACAAAACCCTTATAATTTAAAGTAATCAAAATTATGCAGTTTGTACCTCATACAGCTCTCTACCTCTTGTTTATTCATAGATTGTTCCCTTAACATTTTCCATTTTCTTCAAATTTTCTTATAACAGCTCTCTTTATATCTAGGTCATGTATCCATTTTGACCTTATCTTGGTAAATGGTTCAAGATCTTGTTCAATGCCCAATTTCTTCCCGACTGCTTTCCAGCTTTCCCAACAATTTTTTTTTTTTGCCAAAGAATGAATTCTTATCCTGAAAACTTAAGTCTTTATACTTGTCAAATACAGGGTTACTATAGCCATTTATAAGTATTTCAAAGTTGCTTGTCTTTATAGTGTATTTGCTATTATATGAATTGTTCTACTGGTTCTGCTTACTAATTCTGCATCAGTTCATAAAAATCTTTCCAGGTTTGCCTCTCATCATTTCGTATGGTACAATAATACACCATTATATCCATAAACCATGAAGTTCAGCTATTCCAAAGAGCATAATGTGCCAACCTCTTTGGGTTCAGTTCTTTAGGCCTTGCATTTCCAAAGTTTACAAAATAACTATTTCCAACTTCACAGCCTTTTCATCTTTCAGTCTTATGCGTATACTTTCTCAATGTTTGATTTCTTTGTGCACTAATAACCTACTTTTTCCATTGGGTGCTTGACTGAGTATTTTATTATACAGAACTAACACTTCAATTCTTTTTAGAGAAAATAGAAAGGCTCAGAATGGGAATGCTCCAGATACAAGAACATTGTTGTTGGAGAAAAAATAAAAAGATACTTTTTAATCTTTCCTCAAAGTGGTACCCAAATTCTCATTTTCTAGTGGAATGAAAAAAAAAATTGGAGAGTGTCAGGAAAGAAAGCTTGAGAGAAGAGATGAAGATGATGGAATCATTTCTCTTACTGTGGGCAGCCCCCTTCCCATTGCTTTTGATGAGCAGATGTGTAGTGTTCCATTCCACTACTCAGAAGATGTCCAGCCTCTGGAACAATGGGCCATTTATGCTGAATGTCCCCATCCCTAACTTTGACTTTTCCAAATTCTACCCATCCTTTAAGGCTCAATTTAAGTTCGATATCCTTGGATCCAGTCTGCCTTTGTTATTCTTTCTGTCCTTGGAATTGCAATAGCAAAATGGATAATGATAATAGATGACAGAAGTAGAACTTTGCAGTTACAGATCATTTTACACTCATTATCCAACTGTACCCTCATGACACTGTAAGTTACGAAGTAGATGTATCACTAGCCCCATTTTACAAGTAAGGAGACTGAGCTTCCAAGAAATTTTGTCATTTGTCCAAGATCTTCTACTTATGATGAAATGGAAAGAGGACTTAAAACCTAGGCCTTTTCACTTGAAATCCTGGACTCTTTACTTTGACATACTTCTTTTACTTTATAACTGATCTATCTTTTTCAGCACTTGAGTGATTTTGTAGCTAATTTGTAGCACTAAATTTAAGACTTAATTATAACATTATTCAATAATTCATGTGTTCTAGTCTCATTTTCTCAACTAGATTGGAAGTTTTTTGAAGATATTTCCATTTATATCCAAAACACAATGCTTAATACACAGTAAATGTTCAAACATTACTTTTGTTTGTTGATGTGATCCTGCTGAGCAGAAGTCAGTTAGATGATTTGATTCTTTAAAAAAAAAGAAAGTATTTTATTTTTTCTAATTACATGTAAAAATTTTTAACATTCATTAAAAAAAATTGACTTCCAAATTCTTTTACTCCCACCCCTTTCCTCTCATTGAGAAGGCAGGGAATTTGATATAGGTCATACATGTGCAGTCGTGCAAAATATTAATCCTGTTGTGAAAGAAAAACAGACAGAAAGCATGAAAAAAATTAAGTAAAAAATAGTATGCTTTGATTTGCATTCAGACTAAATTTAGTTCTTTTTCTAGAAGTGGATAACATTTTTCATCATATAGAAGATGACTTGTTTCTTTACATCTTTGAGATTATCCAAACATCAACAGACTTGACTTTCTTTAAGGCACAGGTCAAGTGACAATTCCTATAGGCAGTCTTTGCCAATTCACTGAGTTGTTAATATGCTCTTTTTTTTTTTTTTTGGTGAGGCAACTGGGGTTAAGTGACTTGCCCAGGGTCACACAGCTAGTAAGTATCAAGTATCTGAGGTCAGACTTGAACTCAGGTCTTCCTGACTCCAAGACTGGAGCTCTATCCACTGTGCCACCTCGCTGCCCCTGTACTATGTTTTCAATTGATCATGATTTCACAAAATTTTTTCTTAGTGTCTGATACTTACTAGGCTCCTTTATTTTATACTCAAAGGCATTTTTTTTTAAAGCAGGAAATTCAGTTCAGCTGTTTTTGAATTGTACAAGCAGTTATTTCAAGCATTTGCCCACAAAGCACTTCAGATTAGCTGTGCATACAGTTTTTAAAACTTTACCCTTGGTGGCTGCTCAGGAAAACATTTTCTCACTTTCTAAATTTTTCAATGTAATTATAAGTGATGGCACTAAAAGCTATTAGATGAAAGCTACTTGCTGTCCAGCTTTTCCACACATCTTGTCCTTTATATATTCTGTTAATTTGTGTGTTGGGGAATAGAGTGTTTTACAGAATTGAGAGTCTTATAGAGAATTATAGAAAGCTTCAAGAAGTTATGTAAGAAGAAATGTCATTGATAATATCATACCCTTGGGACAGCTAGGTGGTGTAGTGGATAAAGCTCCGGTCTTGGAGTCAGGAGGACCTGAGTTCAAATCCAGCCTCAGACACTTGACACTTATTAGCTGTGTGACCCTGGGCAAGTCATTTAACCCCAATTGCCTCACCAAAAAAAAAAAAAAGATAATAGCACACCCTTAGGACCTGACCTTTTTTTTTTAAATAATTCATTTATTTTTTAGTTTTCAGTATTCACTTCCAAAAGATTTTGAGTTTTAAATTTTCTCCCTTTCCTCTCCTCCACCATCCCCAAGATAGTGTGCAATCTGATACAGGCTCTACTTACATATTACTTAAATATAACATATTCATATTAAGCCTATTTTCACATTAGTCATGATGTAAAGAAGAATTAGAAATAATGGGAAGAACCACGAGAAAGAAGAAACAAAACAAAACAACAAAAGAAAAGGAGAAAAGATAGTATGTTTCGATCTGCATTCAGACTCCATAGATCTTTCTCTAGATGTGGATAACATTTTTCATTGTGAGTCTTTTGGAGTTGTCTTAGTTCCCTGCATTGCTGAGAGGAGCTAAGTCTATCAAAGTCAGTCATTGCACAATGTGGCTGTTACTGTGTACAGTGTTGTGGTTCTGCTTATTTCACTTAGCATCAGTTCATACAGGTCTTTCCAGGTTTTTTGGAAATCTGCCTGCTCATCATTTCTTATAGCACAACAGTATTCCATTACATTAATATACCACAACTTGTTCAGCCATTCCCCAATTGATGGGCATCCCCTCAAAGGACCCCACTTTTAACAATAAGGGTGGGGATTTCATTGATATAGGGAACTCCTGGTTGAGGTAACTCCTATTATCCAGTGCAGGGCAGCCCTTTCTCTGCATCTTTTGTCTTAGAGAGTTGTCTCTAGAACTGAAAGGTTAAGTGACAGTGTCAGAGAAGGAACTTTGAGCCCTGCTCTGCCTGCTTCTGAGGGCAGCTTTCCAGTCACTACTTTGTCCTGCCTCTCTTTAACAATAATAATCATAAAAATGAGTTCTTATATAGCTACATGTAAGTTCTCTGCTTCAAACTTCATACTATTCAGAAGAGCTCCGGTAATAATTAACATTTTTTATCATGCTTAGCACTTTTCATACATCATCTCATTTGAGCTTCCCAACTATTCTATAAAGTAGTTAAAATAGATAGGTATTATTATCTCCATTTTGCAATTGAAAAGATAAACTATTATTGGGATTGATTCAGAAAGCCTGTTTCACTTCTAAAGTTTTTCTTTATACAAAAAATTTTATGCTGCTTTAATCATACTTTGAGACCACACTTCAACCAGCAAGGTATATTTACTGAACATCTTCTGTGTGTCAGTTATTATGTTGTGGATATAAAAGGAAATACAAAACTTAGTCTCTCTCTTCAAAGAGTTTAAAATCTAATTGAGAAAACAAGGCAATAAGTACTATAGGATTATGGCATATATCCATGCATTTCTATTAACATTAATTTCTTTTTTTAAAAAAATCTTTATTTTTAGTTTTCAGCATTCACTTTTATGATTTTAAGTTCTAAAATTTCCCCCTCCCTCCATAAATGTACAATTGTGTTAAACATTTCCACATTAGTCACTTAATATTAATTTCTTTCAAATTTGAAAAAAAAAGTGAATCAAACAACTTAGTAGGAGAACTCTTGAAAAACCATGTTTTGTTAAGCAACTTATAAAATTGTAATCAATATTTTGAAGCTGATACAAATGATTAATTTTCAATACCTCTCCTTTTTCTTTTATCTTTTTTATGTTTAATCTTTTTTAATTAATAGAAACATCTGATGCAGTAGTGGAAAAAAATGTGACAATAGGAAACCCTGCTAGCATAGAACTAAAATGTAACTTCAGTACCACCCAACCTCTTCAATATGTGAATGTGTATTGGACAAAAGGTAATGATCAGCTCAATAGAACAAGTAGCATGAGAGTATTAGAAAATATCCTGCAAGCTCATATCAGGTAAGTGATATGGGAATTTGACTTTTTAAAAAAAATTGTTTATTTTTAGTTTTCAACATTCACTTCCAATAAGCTTTTTGAGTTTTAAATTTTTTCCCTCCCCCTCCCCATAATTTGACTCTTAAAAAAATATATGAAGGAAAATGTTATATGAGCATGTTAGCTAAATTTTAGTTATTTTGTTGATTTGTTATTTCAAAATATTATGTTTACCCCTTTAATTGTTCACTTGATAGTATCTTTATGTTGCTTAAGCTTCTGTTTTATTCTATGCCTGAATCTTTTCATTTTTCACTCTTGAAAGATATAAAGGCACAAATATAATCATTTCAATTCTCTCTAGGTTGACAGTCACTGATAAAATGCATATGGACAACTACTCTTGTGTTTTTGAAGCGACAAAGGAACGAAAAGGCACATTTCACTTTAAAGGTCAGTACTGAGAACTTAATCATGTCAATATTATGTTCTAGGAATTATAAAGCCTCACAGTTTTGTTACATTTCTAATGACTAAATAATACAGTCAACAGAATGTGATTATATTTGACATATACACAATGAATTTACACATGTATGCACATGTATGTATGTATACAAGAATATTTGTGTATATACTGCACACAATATATATGTATATGCAAATACATGTTTTAAACATGTTTTATAGAGGCCTGTCTTGGAGTTTAGATGACTCGAATTCAAGTTCCAGTTTTGATACATCTTGGCTATATGACAATGGGCAAGGCATTTAGCTTCTTGGTACCCCACAAAATATTCTAGGACTATTCATTAGAAAAGAGTTGAATACTTATATTGGTGGAGAAAATCTTCATACCAGTAATTCCTTACAGTGACTGGATCTCTCTATCTCCTTGTCCTTTAAAAAAAAATCATGTAAAATGTAAGAAAATAATTAGGAACTTGAGATCTTCTCCATCTATCAGTCTTCAGGGAAGTATGTTTCTAGAATCTTGAGACCTCATGAAAATTTTCTACATTTAGAAAAAGTTCCAAAATGTGAATTTTCACAAATAGCTTTTTTGTGAAAATAAGAATGACTTGTCAGAAACTGATAAGTTTCTGAGATATGGAATTTTGTCTGACAAAATGGAGTAATATGAGTAAAGTTTTTTCGTAGCTAGACTGTGAGAGCAATATGGTCCAGGTTAGACTAACTATAAAAAAGTCTTATGCATTGAAGGCTTTTGTTTCATTTTCAGTTACTTTGAGGCAGTTTCCCTTTAATTTTCTTTTAAGTTCCCAGTCAGTAGCCACGACTCATTGCTTTTTGGTGATCATGATTAAAGACTGAGCTCTCTTTTACTCATTTCTCTTTATATCATCCTACCACCTACACACTCAGGCTGTTCTTCATTTTATATTTGTTAGTAATCTATTTTTTTTTTTAGTAATCTACTTTTAAGTACAATTTGTGTATAGTATGTCTCCAAGGACAGAAATTTTTACCTTCTTTCTTTTTTGTCTCTTTCTTTTCCTTTCACTTTCTCCTACCCCCTTGTCCCCAATTTTCAATTTTGATAGATACACAGAATGTGTCCATTACATGTTTCTTGATGGATATACTGACTCAGATCACTTGTTCAAGTCATAGATTTTGTGGAATAAACCATAACAAGTTCAAGAAAAGAGACAAATAGAATAAATGTTCAGAAAGTATTTGGACATTACCTATTTTTTTCTTTTGTTTGTTTGTTTATTTATTTATTTATTTTTGGCGAGACAACTGGGGTTAAGTGAGTTTCCAAGGGTCACTCAACTAGTGAGTATCATGTGTTTGAAGCTGGATTTGAACTCAGGTCCTTCTGACTCCAGGGCCAGTGCTCTATCCGCTCTATCTATGCCACCTAGCTGCCCTTTTTTTTCTTTTATTAAGGCTTGCTCATCTGATGAAAGTATCCCACTTGTAAAAAGGAGAAATATTGCTTTGACAGTGCTAATTTCTAATTTATGATGTAGTATAATTAAAAGTGATTTTTTTTTACTTGTGATCACTAATTTCCCTTTTTTTCTTTGAATCTCATTATCTTCTAGTAGTGTCATTTTCATTTTTCCCAAAACAACAAATAAAGTATGTATATGATGTGTATATATATGTATATGGGTTTATATAGTATATGCACATATGCTACATACATATATACATACATGCATATATCTATACATCAGTGGGCACCTTTAGATTACTTGTTCACTTTTATTTAGTTCAATTAATTCCCATTTCTGACTAGAACCTCAGCCCAAACCCTGTGGTTTATTGGGTTTATTTGAGTCTTTTTTTTTTTTTGATAAAAAGATACCTGAGTGTTAGCAGAGTGTCTTTTTTTTTCCTTTTCTACAATTTAGATGGAAACATTTCAATTGGGCTTATTAGTTTTTAATGTGCATTTAACTTTAATGCGACTTTAAGCATACTCTGTATCCTGGAGGTATTTGTAAAGTTAATAAATGTATCCTTTCCAGCTCTTTTCCTAAGAGAGAATCGTGCCCTACAAGTCATTTAAAAAATGAAACAATTAATTTCATCAGAATACAATTTAAAGGCTTCCACAGAACAGTTCAGATTGTAGTTGTTTAATCAGATCTTCAAGGCATAGATATTTTATAAATACTCAATCTTCTTGTTACTCCACACCCATTGTATGTGACTCATCAGTTCTCCTAAGAAGAGGTCTTAACTTCTTTTTCTGGAATAGTTGGGCCTAGTACATGCCTGAACGTTTAATGAAATCTCAGTTTTAAATAGGGCAATGGAAGTCTGCTACTAAGTGTGTAAGTCAAACACAAAGTGTACAAGTCTCAGCCCTGGGACCAATTCAGCAACCATGTCACTGTCTCAGTCTGTGTGCAAGCCAGAGATGATTTATTACTGTGAGATTATAAAATGGCCTCTGTTAGCTGATTAGTATGATGACAAAAAAAGCTGCTGTCTTTTGGTATTTGGCTGTCAGGAGGGTAGTTGATGCCAGAAAGGGAATGATAACCAAAGTATGCACTCTGAACATGCAGCTGCTAATGAGCCAGGGATGACTTTTAGCTCAAAAGATGGCATCTGGACTAGGATATTTCCACCCCAACCCCCATACCTTGTGCCAAAAAAGGGAACATTGTGACCCAAGGCTGCTATCTCCATAAAATTCATCATAGTTGCAGATGTTTTGAGATTCATCCTGATGTTGGCCTTGGGTCTACCTTGACCTTTAACTGTCTAGTCTTGTTTCTTAAGAAGAAACTGAAACATATTATCTTGACTCATTTGTTAGAGAATTTTATTACCAGTACCAGTTTAGCCAAATTGTTCACTTAGACCATGAGGCTGCTTCCAATGTTAGTTTGACAGGTTGACTCCATCTATAGGACTAATCATTCCTTTTTAGCTGACAGACAGCCAGCTGCAGAAGAAAATTGAGCTGAGCCTACACAAATACCTTTGCCAAAAGTGGGTCAAGCAATTATGTAAGGGAAGTACATCCTTTTCTGTTGCATTGCCACAATACGTGCTCTATTAATTAGAAAAAGATGATTTGAGAGAAATGCTTGTGTCACTTGGTATAGAAAGTTCCCTCTTGCTTAAAATTTAGCCTTCACAGTGCCTATGAGGTACATGTTCTTGGAATATTGTTGGTCGCATCAGCTGGTCAAAATTAGACTGTTTTTTTTTTCCTGCGCTATGCTGATATTGAGACCCACTGTAGCGTTTACCATCTCCATTCCTTTTTATTGCAATGGAGTAGTCAAGGAATGCCTTGATTTGGAAAGATCTCATTTTCACTCCCATGGGAAAAGGTAGAAACATACTAGCTATTGTGCAAATGTCATCAGAATAAGTCTCTTCAGCTAGCCCCTTGTTCAACCTCTCATGCAGTGAATGCTCAAGAAAATTTGACATATACTCTTTACTTTTCTGTCATAAAATTATCATGACAGTCTTCTTGGATTCATTATTTTTCAGCCTGGATGCTATAGTGGGAAGAGTACTGGATTTGGAATCAAAGGGCCAGTGTTAGATTCCTGGCCTCATCCCTTTGCTACCTGTATGACCTTGGGAAAATCACTTAGCTTCAGTGGGTCTCAGTTTCCTCATCTGCAAAATGAGAGTGTTGGAGTAGATTGCCCAAAGGTCTCTTAAGTTCTAAGTATATGGTCCTATAATATTATGATTGATTCTTTTCATTGTTCCTTGAACTGAAAGTACAAGCTCAGCATTCAGTTCTATGACCTCTGTCTTTGCCAGTGTTATTTTCTTCCCTCCTTTTAAATCAGAATCCTCAATGATATGCATGCACAGATTGTCATTTCTACATTAAATTTAATTTCTTCTGTTTTATCACACACAGAAAGTTGCTGTAGATGCCTCTCCTCTCTGGTTAGATACACATTGTGAAGAGAGAACTGATGAAGTTCTTCCTACCCTAAACACTACTTGATTCATTTCGTTTTGACTAGAGTCACCAACATCTTTGTTCTGATATGAATCTCTTGCCAGTTACTACTGTGAGTCAGTGTGTGTGTATAGAATCCTTAGAATCACACCTGCATAATTATGGACAAAATCAGATTCACAGACACAGCTGTTTTTGTGAAACAGCTTTTATGAAACCATGTCACTACCAACCCATATCTTCTGTATGCCTTAAAAACCTTAGTACAAGCCAGCATATGAATCTCATCCTAGTGGAACACACAAATACAGACACACTGAAAAGACCACTCAGATAATCAGACTTCTCAGAGCCACACTGATTTCACCTGGCTAATTACTTCTCCATCCAATGGGATGCTGGAGTCATCTCATCCTGTCTCAAGAACAATTATTTAAATTTTCAGTGTGTTCATTCACACCTCAGAAATAGGCAAATGCTACAAATTAAGGCTTGACATTGTTTTCTGCATATCTGCTACCCCACCCCACCCCTACACTGAGCCAGTTGTCAAACATTTATACCAGCACATCCCTGTCTTCATCCTATTAACAGATAGCTTGGAGGTAGTAGGAAGGATTTAGAAACCTTGGTCTCATTGAAGTCTGATCGTTTTGAATAAATTCCTCCTAATGTCAAAACTCTTGGTTCTCCATTGTTTTTTTTTTTCCAGATTTATGTTTATTATTGTTATTAACTTGACACAGACAAGCATTTACCTATACAAAGAATAAAAAAAAAGGACTGCTCTTGTTTTGTATATTTCAACTTTAATCCAGTAGTTCTGACATTGACCTCCTTGTCTTTCTCTCCTTTTGAACTTCTTTTTTTCTTTCTGGGTATTTTTGATGATTCATTTATCTCCTTTCCCCTCATTTCTTCTTTTTTAGTATCTTATTATCACTTCCCCTCTACTTCCTCCCAACTCTGTTCCTCAAATAAACACCTTATGTCGTAACAAGTAAGTATAGTTATATCCTTACACACAATCTTCATGTAGACAGTGTTTATATATACTGCATTCTGCGTCATCTCTTTGTTAAAAGGCAGGAAGTGTGATTTATCATCAGTATTCTGGAAGTGATTGGTCACTTCATTAGTCATTGTTCTTAAGTTTCCATTGCTTTTTTATATCTAATGGATACGAATGCTGATTCAGAACTGTATTCTACTCCAATCTTTCTTGATCAACATTGATGAGATTTATATTAGAACTTGCTATGTTAAACTGAAACATAGATGAGCATTTCATTACTTTGTTTTACTAGCTATAGGGAACCAAAAAGCAAAAAAAAAAAAACCACATTATAGGTCATTAATCATTTAGAAACATGGGAGAACTCTTTTAGAAAATATTTAAAACACAAATTTGTATTTTGTTTAAATTTATTTTTTACTAATGATGTATTTTTTTCTAATTTTCCTCAGTTCCTGAAATTTATACAAAAGAAAAGCCACTGGTGAATTATGAACGGGATTCTGCTGTCTTGAATTGTAACAGTAAAAACTATGTTCCTTTGGAGTGGATGTGGTATACTAGTAATGGAAGTGAAAAGGTAGTATTTAATTTTTCTGATCAAAGAAAAAGAAAAACTAGTGAAAGCTTTTTGTTGCATCTTTAAAAATAGACCCAATACCCTTGGTCTATTTAAACTTCTGAGCTCCATGTTATTCTCTGAGTTAGAATTCTTAGAAAAAACAAATGGCATCAATACCAAATGTGGTATCATCTGCATATTCAGAGTTCAGAAATTGCTTCTAATCAGACATAAAACTGACTTTAAAAGAAGATTTAGTAATTTATTCAATCTTTCTTGAGAGGAGGGTAAAATTCATTAGCCTTTTGCATTTTTAATTGGTCATCTGGAGAAATATATTCCTGAGGAAAGATACCTTATTCATTATCAACCCATGTTGTTACCTGGAAAGTTGATCGCATAGTAGATAAAGAGCTGGTCTCTAAATCAAGCAGACCTTTGTTTAAGTCCTTTCTGTGATATACACTGGTTCTGGGAGGTTAGACAAGTCACTTTGCCTGTCAATGCTCCAGATAAATGTCTAACATTCTAGAGTTTTAGAGTGGTGGAGGATATACATTGATAGAGAAGAGGTTTCCTCACTGGGAATTCCTGACAGCCACAACAAAATCATACTTAAAGACCCTCTCAGCCCTTGAAAGAAATCTGTCATTCTTTTCCCTATCCCTGTCTCACTACCATTGTAATATAGAGGGAAGGAATAGAGAGGGAATAAGTAACTACTATATTGAGGCACTTTTCTAAGAACCTTACAAATATTAACTCTTGTGATCTTCATAACAACCTTGGGAGGTAGGTACTATTATTAACTCTATTTTACTGATGATGAAACAAGGCAGACAGATGTTAGGACCTAACCTAACCATTAGGTGACTTGCTCACTTAGTCACACAGGTAGTATATGTATGAGATTTTAACTAAGGTCTTTTTTACATTACATCCAGTATTCTATCCATTTATGCCATATAGCTGCCTCAAACTCAGATTGATTGGAAAAGAAAAACATCAGGCTTTCCTAAGTTGTTTTTATTTTAACCTGTACATGCAATTATTTTGCCTTAAATCAGATGTATAGGTTTTACTAGCTATATAAGGCAAGATGGTCTAGGGGTGGCAGGTGGCCAAGGGAAGCTAAAGAAAGTCAATTTCTAGTAATCTAGAAAAGTGGATTGTCCAATCACCTACTGTAAAGACATAGATAATCAATAATGTTCATCAAAGCCTCTCCACATTGTTTGATAATGGCAGTGTAAGTGGACTATGTCACCATTGTATTCTCTCTTTCACTGCTGTAACACCTGATGAGGACTGAAGATAAAATTCTGTCAAAGGCAAACTGCTTTGTCAGATAATAATACTAGCATGCAGCTGTGCTGAGCTTCCAAATCTGATGGGGCATTCCAAAACAAGCAAGAGTGATCTTACTTCAGCTTTTTGAGGGTAGAGGGATGGGAGTCCATTCTTTTAGAACAGACAGTTCTCAATGCCATTGTGGAGCCAACGGAGATGTTGGTAGAGTGTTTTAGAGAGGTGAGGCCTCTAATAACATTCAGGTGTAAGTTTACTGTATCATATCTCCTTGTCTTTCTTGCTAATGCAACAAAGAGAAAAGAAACAGCCATCAATGTGTGTATCAGACAATATTAATTTGAGTAAATTTGATTAAATGATGGAGTTTCCACAATATTTAAACTGTTAATGATCAAACTGCCACTTATCTGTACACATGATAGAGAAGAGGAGTTGACAGTGTCTGGTGCCTAATATGTGTATGTAAAAAGTGTTTACTGATTGAATGTCATACAAAGAATGATATAAAGCTATTTTTATTGTATTTTTGAATACAATAAATATATGCTCATATTTTTCTCTAGTCCCATCTTGAAGGGGCCCCCAGATGGCTCAGGGGCTGGCAGGAGGTCTTGAGTTTGGATAATCTGCTCACAGACAATAAAGAACAGGCCAATAGGTCTTAATCAGATCTTGGAAATAGTTTTAATTGAGATATATAGTCATGACAATTCAGCCAGTAAACTGATTTATATTATATTGAATAATAGTCCTAGAGGGCATCTGAATATGAGAAACCAAATAGAATATAGAGGATTTTAAGAATTTCTACCCCATCCATATTTAAGCATTGCCTATGGGTCTTCATTTAGCGAAGGCTGGGGATTTTCTCCCGTAAGCAGAATGCTTAGAGTAAGATTTCTTTGGCTGACCAACAATTTTAAAATGCTACTCTTGTGTACTAGGATCAATTTTGTTGTATTTTAAGAATATTTAAGAGATAGACATATCCATTTCCCCATAATGATTATGGGATCATGAATTTGAAGAATATTTAGTTTCAATGGTTTTTAATGTGTGGTTCTTGAAGTTTACATATGTAGATAAAGACATAGAGGGGTGTGTGTGTGTGTGTGTGTAAGTAGATTTCAACATAATTGGTTTTCTTTGTAATATGTTAATATTTTGTTTTATCTACTTAAAATATTTGTTCTGAGAAAGGGTCCATAGGCTTCACTAGCCTGACAAAGGTTTCCACAATAAAAACCAAATTAGGAATCCCTGATTTAATCCAAATTTGTTTTATAATAAAAAGACAGAAGACTAGAGAGAGGAATCTCCTTGTTGAATTTTCAGAACGTGGAAGATGATTCTTTAGAATTACATTTTTTGCTTTGCTCTCTTGGAAATGACCATTAATAACACAAAATGAGTGTTACATATAGCAGTCAGGTATTAAATGCTGACTATGTTATATGCACTGTGTGAAGAGTGTTTCATTCTAGAGGTGACAGGAAGTAACTAGAGTAGGAGAATGACATGGTCAAATCTCTGCTTGAGCAAAATTACCTTGGCAGCAGTATGTAGGATGGACTAGAATAAAGAGGCACATGAGGCAGGAAAAATCAATTATGATGCAATTATGATTGCAATAGTCAAGTTGTGATAAAGACCTGAACTAAGGTGATAGTTTTGTGAGTGAAGAAAAAGGGTCAGAGGTGAAGGATGTTTTGAAGGTAGAAACTACAAGACTTAATGATTGATTGGACATATAAAGTGAGGGAGAGTGAGGAGTCCAGGATGATGCTCAAGTTATGAACTTGTGAAACTAGAAGGATGGTGCTGTTTTCAATGGGATCATTTGCTTTGAAAGATTCAGATGGCTACTTCTTGATTTTTTTCTATAACATATTTTTTCTTGAGAATATCTCACCCAAACAGCTCATAAACATAGATATGTTTTATGAGAGACAGTGTGGCAAAATTGATAAAGAACTAGATTTGGAGTCAAGAGGATTTGGCTAATGTTGGGCAAGTCACTTAAGGTCCCAGACCAAACTAAGTCAATAAGCTAAACCTGAAGAGTGGGTGCCAGTCTGTTTTGGTAGAGGAAATTCCTCACTAGAAATCCCTTCCCAGATGAAATCATAGGTCTGATTTAAAAGTAATAACTCAAACCAAAAAATTCTACCCACATAATTCTTATACATGTGATTGAATGTCTCTTTATATTAGGTACCCATTGACATTATGATGAAAAACAAGTATGAAATTCTACCATCCAAATATAATGAAACAAAGCTTAAGATAAAGCATCTTCAAGCAACAGAGAGTGGACTCTACTGGTGCCATGCGATATTCCACCTAGGAGAGAGTGAAGGAAAGCAGAACCTCAAAGTGCTAAGCTACTTGGTGCCACTCAAACCATTTCTTGCAGTAACTGCTGAAGTTGTTATTTTAGTAACTGGTATTTTTCTCTATGAGCTATATAGCAAAAGGAGACAGACAGCCACAGGTAGGAATATAATTCCAAAATACTTTGTTATGTCCCATCAGTGCACAGTAAAGTTTTAAAAGTTTTAATTACCCTTATTTTACTCCCAGAAGTGTCCATTTTAAACATTAATAGCCTTTTATTCTATACCAGCATACACACACACATATATGTGTGTATATGTGTGTGTGTATATATACATAAATATGTCTGTATATAGTTTTATATTTATATATATATATATATTATAATTTTATAGAGTACTTTCTATTTTTACTTGGCCTCACTGTTCCCCAAATGAGCTGCATACTTTGTATTTATGGTATATAAAAATATATGTGATAGAATATGTCAATGAATTTTGTGACAGTCCTTCTATGTGATATAATTAAGTAAAAGACTTAGGAAAATAAAAAATTTTATGTCAATTTTACTTTTTAAATATAGTATATATACATGAACCTAAATAGTTTGAAAAACAAATTTTTTGTATATATCAAGTGTTGTCAATACCACTTTTTCTTTTCATTGGAAAATTGTGAAATGTCATCATAACTATTAAATTATTTATAACTTGAAAAATGTTAATCAGCTCTCACATACTTTGGAGAAAACCATTTATAGAAAACTTATTATATATGATCCTTTAAAAATCATAAAATAATCCTAAGATTTAAATTGTTTTTTTTGACACAGAAAGTGGAAAAGATTTTGAACAAGTTGAACAGCTGTAAGTATTAATATGAAGTTATATGAAATGATGTATCTGAGAAAAAAAGTGAGCATTTAATGTGATTGGTACTTCACTAAAGGCTCTTCACCCAAAGGTTGACCAACAAATGTTGAAATTATTGGCTAGTTCAATGCATGAAACAAATAAGAATGGAAAATGGACATGAATAGAATAATGGGTCCAAATATTTGCCTATTTGTTTTACTCTTTTTCTGAGTAAACAAAGAAATTCTCCTGATAATTTTCATATATGATAGTTCAGTTTTTACTTTATAAATATTTAATCAATATAAACAGAAGGTTCATGATCTTTCCCAAACTGTCACTATTGTATTAAGGGATCCAAATGATCTAAGAACCAAGGGAAAAAAACCTCACAAATCTTGAATTCGAATAATTCTTTTGCAAATGATTCAAACTATAGAGGTTAAATTGATGTAACTTTTCTGTTTTCCTCAATTATTTTAGTGAAGAGATATTGAAATCTATAGATATTAAGCACATATTGGTCATATACATAATTAGTACCATTATAAATTTTGATAGCTTGTACCAAAAATATTATCTTCATGACACTAAAATATCTAGTTCATTCAATAAATTCAAAACATGTGTATTCAGTTGCCTAGATTTATTCTACTTAACTACAGATGACCATAATTGTTTACTAGTTGTGGCCATTGTCTCATCATGTAGACAGTCTTAAGGAGCTCAAGACAGTTCCATTACCCAGAATGGGTATGGGGTGAGTCTACTGCTAATCTCTTCTACCTTCTTCTCTTGTCTCTACCAGCTTTGAAAGATAAAAACTTACACTTGTAGAAATTCTCTGGCTACATAGTATTTGGAGTAAGTGTGTCTCACTTCAGAAGTTCAGAATTATTGGAATAATCCTCAATATGTATCTGTTGGTTTCTCCATTGATGTGTGCTCAACACATTTTTTCTAGCCAAAGTTTGACCTGTAGCAGTTTGAAGAAAAATTCTATCTTCCAGTTTGAGCCCAAGAGGGTTCTTAAGGACAACTTCTCTATGTGCTTTATGGCATAAAATCAAACACCTTCATGGTATTCAATAGACAGAGGTAAAACTGTTTCATTTGGTCAAATGAATTGCTGTGAAGGCCACCTTTCTTAAATTGTGCATCACTGTAAATTTAGCCAATCTGGTCCTCAGTCAACAGAATGTCACCAAGCCATTAAATGAAGCTTGTCTAGCTTAGGGGCCTGGACCACCTTCATTCCATGGTGGAAGTAGGTAGTTTGTGGAGGGCTCATTTATTCTTTGATGCTATCTATGTAATATTAACTGATGTCCTGATATGATAAATGATCTTGATATAGGTTATATAGAGTAAGTATGTGATGATTGTCTTTCTTTTTTTTGTTTAAATTTCACACAGAAAATCAGAAGATCACAATGGAGTAGACAAGAAGAACCAAAGAACCAGGCACAGAAAGAGTGATGTCAATATGAATTAATGCTCCAATTAAAGGTAAATTAGCTTCTAGCTATACCATGGATGTACACATTTTTCTTACTTCATAAAAAGACCCAGAAATTTGCAATACACTTTTGTATTTTTAGTAACAAATTATGTAGAGGAAACATGAATTTTAATCAAAAATTAAAATGTCATGATGCCTATTTCCGTAGAACAGTATGTAGTCCTACCTGAAAAGTGAATCATGGTGATTTTGTTTTGCACTCTTCCCATCTTGATCCCATTGTGCTTTTTTCTGCTGCTTTTTCAGCCTGTGACACATTCATATCTCTGCAATATAAGCTCCTTAGTTCTCTTCATTTTTCTTTTTTGTGTTGAGAGGAATGAATAAATTTATTCTGACTATTTTTTCACCAATTTTGCTCCAATTTCTTTACTGATTATATTTTGATTATATTTTCTTCTATATGGTAACATTTGTGAATTTAGTCTAGGGGGCTTCGTTTGGGCAAGTTTTGTGAGCCCCACCCTCCTCCAGCACTGTTTAATCAATGCTATAGAATCATGGTAATAATGCTACTTGTCAAAGAAAATGTCATTAATCATATTTAAAATGCTTTATTTAATTCAGAAAATTTCAAGCCAACAAAAGAAAAATCATTTAATAATGAAGAATCCTGAGAAACTGTGTTCAAGTTGCACATTTCAAGATTGTTTATGCTTTCTTTTAAGGGTATATGGTTTTTCTTGTTGTTGCTTTAAAGAATGAAATACCGTGCAGCAGAAACATGATGCCATCCCTGTGTTCAATAAATTACTTCATAAATAGTATATTATTCCAGGGTGGCAGGCATATTTCCATGCTGTGATTATTTCACAACATTAATGAAAAGCAGAAGTATTATTACTATTTGGATATGCAGATGTTAACACTCTTTTTAGTAAAATGATGCTCAGCAGGGTGTTCCTAGTGTTAGGAAAATCTTAACTTTATGCTAGTCTTCAAAGAACACACCAAACAGATACTGGCAAAAATCTTTAATAGGTACATGTGCATTTTTTAAAAAATCAACCAAAGATATCATTAAAGGGAAAGCCTTTGCCATGTGTCTTAATAAAATATGGAAGTATTTTTGAAGGGATAACAAAATGTAGGATTTGTATTTTGAAAAAATATATAATTTAAAGGGTCCCTCAGTGAAAATTTATTTTATTAGGTTGAAAGAGGCAGCATAATCATACTGGCTAGAGAATTGGCCTTGAATCCAGGAAGATCAGGGTTGAATTCCTACCTCTGATGAATAGTGGCTCTGTGACCTCACTTAAGTTACGCAGCTTCTCAGAGGTCCAGGCAACTCTTTAAATTCTTAAATTGCATAGAAAGTGCCAACATTCCATTGGTATAGAGGGTTTCCTTAACACAAAATTCTCTATACCAGTGAAATCACAAGTCTGGTTCCTATCCCCATTCCTAATTGGGAAATACATTCTTCCTTTGTAAATGATTGTAGCCTATTTCCAATAAAAAAAAAAACCAAAAACCTTTTACCTATAAATCTTAGTATGAGTAAGCATGGAAAGAAATAATTTTATTGTATCATTTGATTAGATTCATATCTTGTCACCCCCCAAACCAATGTCAATTTGTGTTATTTTCTATTCCTTTACCTTCTCACATTGGGGCCACATTGCTCCCTAGTTTTAGTGTGGGGCTATTTAAAATTCAAAGGCCATTGTCTTGGACCCACAGGAGACATCTAGAGATTTTATGCTTCACATCTGGCTACCCGGGAATGACTCTGTGGCCAGATATTAGGTTTGTTATGCAGCATTACTATCATAGATGCCTGGTCTTATCTGTGACATCTAGAAATGATTGCTCCTATACATCTTTTAATATGTATTTCTGGACTTTTCCCACAGCCCTGACTAGCTCCAGAGGACTGAGACTGAAAACATTGTATTTACTACACCTCACACAATTGAATATCATGCTAATTCCCTAGGTGTTATTTTTCCCAGCCTGTCTGAGCTTTTTTATTTCAATGACTAATCTAAATAGCTAATCAGTTCATCTACAAACATTTTTTAAGTGCCTTCTATATTCTAGGCACTGTGTTAAACACCAGGGACACAAAATGCAAAATGTCCCCTGTCCTCAAGAAGCAAAGGCATTAATTTTTACATATTCCATATACCTCCGTGCAGTTCCTTTGGCTGACAGAAGTTATCACATCCTAAGTGAATTGGTATACTTTTATGGGCATAAAGTAGTTTATTTTTCTTTATAACTTCTTCCTGAAAGAAAAAAAAAGGAAACAAAACCTTTTTTCATTTTTTTGTTGTTTAAAATCCTTTTGTTGAAGATATTATTTGTGTGTGTATATTTATTTATCTCTCCATATATATCTCCAAATATTTTTTATTCCATTTACTCCAAATCAAATGGGACATGAGTTTATGTGATGTTTTTAATACCAGTGTCTTTGATTTTAATATTGAAGTCACATTATAAGTAATATTTTGCTTATTTTTGTATCTTATATGTCTTGTCCAACTGTTTTTGACAACAAAAAAGTGCTAGTTTCTCTCTTTTTTAATGTACTATAGTTAAAATATTACTATGAACTTTATATCAATACCGTTTGGAGTTTGTTCTGTTATTTAGCCTTGAATACTCTGAAAAAGAAAATAATTCTACAGAGACAGTCTTTTATCAGTTAGTCACTTAGTAAGCATTCTATATGCTGGGCAAATGACTTGAATCTATTAAGCAGGAGGAGACAACTACTTATTCTGATTTAACTTGTTTAACTCCAAATGAGAGCATGAATAAATTTCATTGATTCCTGGCCAAGATAGTTAAGAAGATTAAAAAAAAAAAAGTACAGAATGTAGCTGACTTTGACTTTGTCATGGCCATGATACCTCTGTTCTGCCCTTTGGGTTCTCCCAGGTGTGCCTGCTGCAGAGTGGAGGTGAAAGCAAAGGGTGGATTTTTAGTGATGGTAGCAGAGAGGTGCACCATGGTGTTTTTGACAATTCTATTCTAGCACTGTGGAATGAGAGAGGTGGGTAGTAGATGTGGATAGTATTACTTGACTTGAGTTCCAGGTTACTCAGTCACTCTATACTAGTTTGAAAATGTAGATGAGAAAGAAGAATGCACTGGAAGAAGGGGAAAGGGAGAGGTAGAGTGGGATAAATTAACTTAAAAGAGGTGTGAAAGAGATTTTACAATGGAGAGGAAAATGGGGAAAGCAGGGAGGGGAGCACATGAACCTTACTCTCATCAGAATTGGCTCTAAGAGGGAATGATATACATACTCAGTTGGGTATAGAAATCTATCTTACCATACAGGAAAGTAGGAAGGGAAGGGGATAAGAGAAGGGCTGGGGTGGGGGGAGGGGGAGAGGGAGAGAGCTGATAGAAGGGAGGGCAGTTTAGAGAGGTAAAAGACAGAACCAAAACACTTGAGAATGAACAGGGTAAAAGGAGAGAAAATAGGATAAATAGGATAAACAAGGGAAAAATAGGATGGAGGGAATTACATAGTTGGTAATCATTACTGTGAAAAAAATTTACAGTGAATTTCTCTGATGAAAACTTCATTTCTCAAACACAGAAAATTGAGTCAAATTTATAGAATTAAGGGCCATTCTGCAATTGATAAATGGTCAAAGGATATGAACAGGCAGTTTGAAGACAAAGTAATCAAAATCAAAAGTCATGAAAAAAATTCTCCAAATCATTTTTGATGAGAGAAATGCAAATTAAGACAGCTCTGAGCTACTACCTCACAGCTTTCAGGTTGGTTAATATGACAGAAAAGGAAAATGACAAATTTTGGAGGCGATGTGGGAAAATTGAAACACTAATGTACTATTGGTGAAGTTATATACTGTTTCAACTATTCTGGAGAGCAATTTGAAAGTATGCCCAAAGGGTTATAATAAAACTGTGCATACCCTTTGACCAAGCAATACCACTATTAGGTCTGTATCCCAAAGAGATAAAAAACAAAAAGGAAAAAGACCCATATGTACAAAAGTATTCATAGCAGCTCTTGTAGTGGTGGCAAAGAATTGGAAATTGAGGGGATGTCCATCAATTGGGGAATGGCTGAACAAGTTGTGGTATCTGATTGTGATGGAATGCTATTGCACTTTAAGAAATGATGAGCAGGATGCTCTCCAAAAAAACATGGAAAGACTTACATGAGCTGATGCAAAGTGAAATGAGCAGAACTAGAACTTTGTACACAGTAATAGCAATATTGTATGATGATTAACTTTGAATGACAGCTATTCCCAGCAGTACAATGATCCAAGACAATTCTGCAGGACCTATGATGAAAGGTGCTGCCCATCTCCAGAGAAAGAACTGGTAAAGTCTGAATGCAGATCAAAGACATTTTTTCTTTATTTTTCTTGTTTTTTTTGTCTATTTTCTTTTACAGAATGACTTACATGGAAATGTGTTTTGTATGACTACACATGTATAACCTATGTCAAATTGCCTTTTCAATGAGAGGGAGAAGGGAGAGAATTTGGAGCTCAAATAATAAAAAAGAATGTTAAAATTGTTTTTACGTGTAATTGGGAAAAACAAAATATTAAATAAAAAATGTATTCACATGTTGCTTTGGGTGACTTCAATTGGCAAAGCTACTTTAAGGTAATGTTAGCCAGAAGGCTAATATATTTTGTGCTTTATTGCTGTCTTACTAAATGCAAATTTAAAAAAAAATGAGAATGTACCACATGACCATTGCCTAAATGGAACCCAAGGCAAGGCATTTTGTAATAATGATGAGTACCAATATTTTTGTAGCACCTTAGAGTTTGCAGAGCATTTTCCTTGCAATATCCCTATGTGGTCATAGAGCAAGAGTAACTATCCCTATTTTCCAGATGAACTGAGGCAGCAAGTGATTCAGGTAGGATTTGAAGCCGTCTCATTCATGTTCTTATCTGTGATAACACTCATGCTGAAGCATAAATTCTTTAGGATTGTGTTTAAAGATCCTGAGTGTTTGACATCCTTCTGCCCACCTCATACCAGCAGTAGTGGAAGGAGAAGGTCAGCAATTAACACACAGAGATATACACACACCAAGGTCAATTATTAATTATAGAATAAAAGAAGGAAATGTTGATCTGACTTGGAAATCAGATTGTGAAAATGATTAATGAATACACATAGATGTGATCATTGTTTCTAAAAGTTTCTTGATATTAGTGAGCAATCAAAGAAATTGTGACGGTCCTGACTCCATGTTTGTTAATTGCAGTCATGTACATTACAGAAGAGCGCTGTTGAATGAGAGTGCCACCTCTACGTGATGCTACACTTCTCTAACCCTGAATTTCCCAGCTAATGCCACTGCATTTGTGTTGCTGAAATTATTTCAAGCCTGAATAGACTTATGTTGTTTCCAACATAACTAATCAATTAGATCAATTCTATTCAAAGAACCTATTAGTTGTTACTTCATAGGAAATACTCAGGCAAGCTAGCTGTTTGACTGAATAGACCAGTTCATTAAGTCCAAGTAAGTGATGTGTTTAATAGTCCTGAGAAGACATAGTTTAAAACAGTTTTAGCTCTGCAAGTTAATAATTGGTGCTTTTTCTCTCTCTCATCTATTCACACTGTGCTCTCCCTCTACTCCTTTACTCTCATCCATTTAGTGTGAAATAATTTACAAGGAAGAAAAATTGCTATTTCATAGTAGCTTAAAATATTCATACAGTAAATTGATTTTTAAAAAGCAGCATTGCTTACTTTAACTTTTTTTCTACTGCTGGAAAAAGTTTTATGGATAAATATATGTATCGATATAACATATTTCCTGAATAATAAAGTGAAGCTGCACCTTTTCCCGATTCCTCAAATGGGTTATATTTTAAGAGAAAACAGAAATGGTCTTCCTGGCCAAGCTCATAGACATGCTAAATGGATTGACTAATGAGAGACTGAGCTAGCCAAATGATTCTAGTGCCTCAGCTGCTCTATGATGTTGTCATACACTTGGGGAAAAAATACATTAAATTTGTCATGCTAACAGTGTACTGTCTCAGTGTAATAAGTAAAGCCTCATTAAGTTTGTCAGTGGCATACTTCCTAAAATAAAGGCATTTATTTTCAGGGTAATGTACAAATTCAATGGAAAGTCATTGATTTTGCTTAATTGGTAGGGAGCTCTGTCTGAATTAGAAGTCTGAACTACAGAATATTTCCAAAGAGAAATGTTGGTTGTACTATTTATAAGAAAGAGCACATAATGAAAATTAGTGAGTAAACAGAACTACAGACTTCCTTTAATGACCAAATAAGATATCTTCCTGATTTGCCCGTTTTATGTGTGGATAGTTCTAAAGTACTTTAAATGGTTTAAATTATCCTTCCCTGAGTCTCCTTAATCACTTCATTTATTTCAGAATCCTGCTTTTTCCCCCTGCAGAAAATTCAAACATTAACTTCAGGTCGACTCATTCCTAATTGGTCTCAATTAGTGAGACTTGTGTATTTATGTTTCTGTACTGTGGTACTGTGTGTTCAAATAGGTAGTATTGTGATCAATTGTGCTTGGTACTTGCCTTGAAAGACAATACAGGTGACTACTTTTTAAAATTTGGACTCAAAGGAAATAAGAATAAACTAGCAGAATTTTCTGTTCTTGGTCAAGTTCATTAAAAATATGAACAACACAACCAATTATCAGTTCTTCTGGCAGTTTCTCTGGCTCTTCATTTCAGTCACTTGTATGGATTTCTTCTTAGGTATTTATCATTCAGCTTACTTATACGACAAAGAATAAATGTTTCACTAAATAAGCAAGCAAAGAACCACTTATCTCAAAATGGAAGCAGGCACAAATAATGTAATATTTACATGGCATAGTGTTATATAGAGTAGCAATACAATAGGCATTTCAAATGGCTGGAGCTGGAAGGTGATCAAGACCAGCCCTCTCATTTTGCAGTTAGGGAAACTAAAGATGCAAAGAGATGAAGTCATTTACTGGAGGTCACAGAAAGTGATTAGCTGAGCCAGAATTAGAACTCATATCCTCCTAAGTCCAAATTCAGTACAGTACCATTCTTGAATGAATAAATTTTTCTGTGACTATTAAACCATGAAATGACTGCTACTTACCACCCATGTGACAGTAAGTCATATTAATCTTTTGGAACCTCAGTTTCCTGACCAGTAAAGTGAGGGTATTTTACTCTAAATCTATGATTCTGTTGTTATAATAAAGAACTAAAGTTATCAAGTCACTATTAAATCTTCCCCCTTAGATAATAATGAAACATTTGTCAATACACACATTTTTCTGAATGACTAAGAGGTCCACCCTCAACAGCTTTTTTGCAGTGGGCTAATTACAAGGATATCATTGATAAATGTGGCTGTTATCTGGCCTGTGGATTTTTGTTTAGCAACTTAAGGATTTGAATTTAAATATAAAATAACAAGATAAACATTATTTGAACTAGCCCAAGGGGCAGAATCTAACCATTTTGTGAATGTCTATTTTAGGAATATTAATACATTTTATAAGTAATAATATTTGCAAGGCATATAACCACATTGCAACCATGACCCATGCTGGGTCATTTTTATGTGATCATGTCTCTGTGGAATGGAAACAGTTTGAAATACTTTAGAGAATGATGAGAATTTAGAAACTTTCTTGACCAGTCTTGAAAGATGTGGAAACAAACAGCCAAATACAGTATTCCTTTTAAAACTATAATCAGCTAAATAGATGATTTTGCCACTTTTCTAACAAATGGATAGTAAAAAATATCTAGTAGTCTGTCACTGCATAAGAGAATACTATTTTTTTTTTTTTACTTTCTTGCTTCAAGTATAGTTTAACCAAGTCAAAGACTACTAAAGGAAGCATAATTTAAAAAATTCCCTCTTGCAAACCACAAGATAAAGACTCACTCTTTTTGTATCTACAAGCTGAAGGGAAAGCAATAGCGATATGTTTAAGACCTTAGTAAAAACAGTATATTACCTGTTATGTTTATTAATATGTGTTTTTTTTTTTTTTTACAATTTTGGAAATTATTAAGCTGTTTCCTCAAATATGATAGGGCTTACGGTTATTGCCTTATTTTCTCTCTTCTCCCCCAAGGACATATAAAATTGCTCATCAATGCCTTATTGTATTGTCTAAAGAGTACAGAATTTAGGGGCAGCTAGGTGACGCAGTGGATAGAGCAACGGCCATGGATTCAGGAGGACCTGAATTCAAATGTGACCTCAGACACATAACACTAGCTGTGTCACCCTGGGCAAGTCACTTAAACCCCATTGCCCAACCAAAACAAAACAAAAAAAGAGTACAGAATTTATCAGTTTCAAAATGTTTATCAGTTTCACAATGAATGAATGCAACAGAAATGAGAGAAATCTAATATGTAATTACATTAAGTAAAAATTAAGTACTATATACCCACTATTATGCGAAATGGAGTATATTCATGTTTTTTAAAATTTTTCATTCTTTGTAAATGCTAAAGTATGAATGTATATTAATTTCAATGATAAACCATAAATATATATATCTTTTGTTCTACAAAACTGTGTGTTGTATAATTTTGTTTACACAGGCATACATTCTAATTTCTTCCAATTCGTCCCCACACATATTTATTTATTTAATTTATTTGATGGGCATGGCATGCACCCATAAGTAATTATTCATAAGAGGAAGCTACCTAGAAGTAGAATAATCATTGTAAAATTAATGATGCATAATTATTTCTTCATGGATTTGATGTGAGGAATCATAAAACTATGGAGATTTAAAAAATTACCCACAATTAATTCATTTTTTAGGGAATCCCCTTTGAGGACCCAGGTAGACATTCTTGGTAACCATATATGAAAATTATTAACAGAAATTGATCTTACATTTCACCCTGTTTTAATTTATGTTTTTAAGTTTAAACTTTTTTAAAAAATGTTTTAAAAACAGGATTATTTTATACCAAGTGTTTTTTTTTATGTCGAAAGATATTTTGTATGATTGTTTTTCCTTTTATCAAGAAATTCCAATCTATTGCTTAGAAGCCATTCTTTGCATTATCTATGGTTAAGATCTCTAAAAAGCATCCAAGCATCTGAATAGATGTTACTGAAACAAAACATTTTATTTATTCTTGAAAGAGTGATACTATTGAAACACGTACATTATGATAAGAGGACTTCCTAGCAGAATTGGGGTGAACTATGTAATTGGTCTACTTTTATCCTTGCCTTACACCCCAGGAATGATAATTGATGAACTTTGTAAATCAATGACACTCAGTCATTCACTCTTTACATTTCTCTCAAAGGGTCATGACATACATTGGTTGGCCTGCGGTCAATGGGAACTATTCCATCATCGTGGACTATACCTTTTTGAGGCACTGCTATAGGCCTCATCGACAACAGGTTAGCTTTACAAGCAAACAAAGTAGTTCCTTGCATAGACACTATAAATATTTCTGATCACAAAGGAAATAAGACTATAACCTGGTTGTTTAATTGACTAGTCCACAGAGCCCAGGCTAATGAGTATTTGTCTTCTAAAGTCCTGTTTTCAAGTCTTAGTTATTTTGTTTGGTTGTCTCCCTTCAACAAATTAGCCAATGATGGGAAAATCTTGACTTTGCTTCGTGTCTACTGTCTGAATGTCAAAAACTGTGGCCTTGGAAGGAGTATTTTATGGGTTTGGGAACACTATGATGTTGTAAAGCTTTCAGAAATAAGAAAACATCAAAACTTAAATGGAAGACATGTACAAAGTAATTTGTTGGAGAAAGACACAAGTGTATAGTGAGGGATTTTTTTTTTTTTACTTCATGCTCCAGAGGGTGCAATGGAATGATGGGGTAGAGCAGAAATGGTCTGCCATAGGTTGACTATAATGGAATTAGTAGTAGTATCAGAAAAAAATGAAACTTAAAACTAAAAACTTATGCAACCAAGTTATCTGAATTTCTAAAAAAAAAAAACAAAAAACTATTAACTGTGAAAGATTGCCCCAAATCACTAATATAAGAGAAAGGTAAATCAAAATAACTTGAGGTTTCACATTTCTACTAAATTGGCAAAGGTCTCAAAAGGTAGAAATAGTCAATGTTGGAGGAATTGTGGGAAGGTAGCTACACTAATATACTATTGGAGTTGTGAAATTAGTCCAACCATTCTACAAATCAATTTGAAATTATGCTGAGAGAGACGAATGTATGTCTACTGCTTTTCTATTGAGAGTTTTCATTGGTAGATATATATCCCAAGCAGCTCAAAGATGGAAAGGTCCAATATGCACCCAAGTGATGACGGTAGCATTTTCTGAAGTAGCAAGGAACTAAGAAGAGTAGATGTCTCTTGATTGGGAAATTGCTAAACAAATTGTGACATAAGTGTAATGGAATATCATTGCACTGTCTGAAAAAAATTGAATAGGAAGAAGACAGAGAAACATGGTAAGTCATGAGTAGACGCAAAATATAACAAAATCAGAACAAAAATATACCCAATGAATACATGGTAAATAGGAAGAGGCAGCTAAGTGGCTCACTGGATAGAGTGCTGTGCCTGGAAGAGCTGAGTTTAAATCTGGCCTCAGACACTAAGTATGTGACTCTGGGCAAACCATTTAATCCTCTTTTCCTCAGTTTCCTCATCTGTAAAATAAGCTAGAGAAGGAAATGGCAAACAACTTTGGAATCTTTGCCAAATATTGATGAGCTATGGTCCACAGGGTCACATAGAGTCGGGCACAACAGAACAAATGAAAAATGAGTTAGTATTTTGTCCTAATAGTACAGCAAAAATTAATGTTTAAATCTTTTACTCCTCACTAAGTGAAGTAGAACATACACACAAAATAGTTGAAATCAAAAAGTTTTAAAAATTCAAAATTCAGAATAAGTTTTAAAATCCTTAAGTCTCTAGACCTTTATGGGTATAGGTTAAATGAACCCAAAGAATAAGAACCAACAGAAGTGGGGTGAGTAACCCATACTGTAATACCTACAGCTACAAATGAAAATGTAAGTCTGCAGGATCTACATACGTTTCTGTCCTCTT